TTCAGTGGCTCCTAGAAACTGTCCTTCATCAGATCCGTTTGCCATCCTTAGTGTTATCAGTTTGGTATTATGGATTGCTTTCACCAATGTTTGGGTTTATTTTTGAATGATATAATGTATGTGCTTAAGTTCCATGTTATTTTTGATTTTTTTTAAAGTGAGATTTTAACTTTCATATCATGACCTTTTGTATCATGGCATTATGGGGAGAAAATAACGTAATTTTTTCACTGTGCTGCTTGGACAGTTGCTAGATAGAGACAGACAAATGTTGTAGTTCTGTAATATTTCTTGCCTCTTTTATGTATTCCAGTAACCTGCTGGTGTAAAATGAAAATATAAAAATAATTTTATAAAAGCATTTCTTATTGTGATGGTGATGCTAAACTGTCAAGTTACCTGGATTTAACAGATCTCCTTTCAGGGAAACCTAATTAGGGAAATAAAACTAAAGCCTCCTTTCCCTGAATTGGAGATTATTTGTCTATTTTTTTTTTTTTGGTACCAATCAATATGCTTGATTTTATTTTTTCCCAGAAATTTCTTCTATAAATATCAGCAATTTCTAATCTTTGCTCTGTGGCTTTTTGAGGGGCTGCTACACCTAAATATAGTTGGTGTTCTTTTTCAAAGTGGAGAAAACTATCAAATACTTCAGAGCATGCTAAGTGCTGGAGAGACGTTTTCTGCATAAAGAATCTGTTTTTCCCCATTGTGCTGCATAAAATGTCTTTACAGGGAGGCACTATAAAGAAATGAATGTTTAGTTTTTAGCTCAGCAACTAGAGGTCTGCTGTCACAGCGTAACTCAAAGGATTTCTCTTAAAGAGCATCTAGTCTTTTGGGTGGAAATAAAATTCAAAGACTGTCTCGTACCTCCCTGTTGGCTTGTGGAGTGGCCAACTGGGGTGTTAATGAAGTGCTCTCGTTGCGGAGCCACGCGCTTCCTGCTTGACCTTGGCATCTCGCTAGGGCTGGAGTCTTCTGTTGTTGCTTTTTAATTACCAGTTGATTCCTGGACTAGCTGAGAAATGGGCACATGGCGCCTTTTTTTTTTTCTTTCTGTGTTTTTTTTTTTTTTTTTACTTTATAGAGGTGCTAATCCGGACATATTTGGACCCGGATTTCCCGCTTTGGGACAGAGCGTCCATGGTTCCGATAGGCCCGCGGCGCTCCCGCTGCCCAAGCGCGCCGTTACACACGGACGCCCGCGCTCGCCCTCCGGGTGTGCCCGGGGATGCAGGCAGCAGCATCCCCCCACGGAAGAGCCTGGACACGGCCGCGCGTTGGGGTTGGGGTCGTACCCCGCGGAGCAGCGTCGCTCGCGGGCAGGCCGGCTCCGCGTCGCTCACCGGGGCCTTTGCGAAGGTGCAGCTCGGCCTGTCGGTGTGCAGCCCCCCATCGTCACCTCCCTGTTCTGTAACCCCAAAGCAGCCTTGGAAGGGCTCAGTGATTTAGTGTGTGCATTGCCCCATTGCAGCCTCCGATTTCCAGCTTCGTTTTGCAGTTAGCAACTTGGTGTCTTGTAAATAGACAAAAACTAGTGGGATAATCTTGTTAAGAGCAAATGACAATCTAATTTCGCCAATGTAGTGGGATTAAAATAACCTAAAACTAAAATAGCCTAAAACTAAGATAACCTAATTTCATTTTTAACAGGTTCATCTTTTAAGGCTGCTGTGATTAGGAAGGGATGCGTGGTAGGATACCACAGAGGCTGGGGCAGCTCTCATTAAAGCCCAAAGCTGGATTTCACTCTGATTTTTAAGTGGAGCTGGACTGAGCTCCAGGCTGGGCTTTGTCCAGTGCCAGCAATAGGAGTGTGGTTAAATGATAAATAGTGGCGAGAAGGTCCAGGCTCTGCCTTCAGTGGTGATTGCAGCCGCGCCAAGCCCAGAAGATAGAAGAGTTTTAGCTGTCCCTAAATCAAGGCAGGTTGCCATGGTAATCACATGGTTCTCAAAAACTGCACATGAAGAAGATTTGAAAGATCCTAAGTGAGCTGTCCCATTAATAATGAAGAGTATCAGTGTTCAGCCATCTGTTACATATGTGTATATGAAAGGGCAGCAAGAGTCTGGAACAATTCAGATTGCAAGCTGGTTTGAGCTCTGCCTGTAATGAAAAATTGCAAAAGAGAGTAACATAAAATATTATGGTATGTCAACTGCTGCGTTTTACTTTTATGGTTTAACATCATCTGCTAATATGTGCTGTGAGTCTATCAGGATTTGCATTATGTATTCTCATTTTTAGAAGTTTGTAATTTGATGTTAGCATTTTGCTGTAGGCAGAAACTTGGCAAACTCTCAGTCAAAAAGACAGTTCCATAAAATATTTTGGGAGGCATTAATTTCAGATTAAACAATGAGAACGAAATACTTTCCCCAGATGTGGCTTGATGCTTCTGCAATCAGAAGCAATTTTGCTCGTTAGCTGAGATTCTGTGGACTCTTAATCAAAAATATATGCTTTGGGGCTGTGCTAAGAAACGAATCTTGAAAGTGGCTTGGGCAGAAACTGCAGTAACTTTATTTTTTGTAAAATTAGCTCCTGCAAATTGAAGGTGCTTACTAGTGTGTTGAGTCTGCATTAGCAATTTGTGCATGGTATGAGCGTATTCTGCATAAATCAGGGCTAAACATATCCAAGATGCCCTTCAGAGCTATATTGGATATTTTTGTCAATATTTTTGTATAGCCAAGTGTCTCTAGTACATATTAGTCTTTCTTTTAACAGGAGAAGAGAGACCATTGATCAAATAGGGAGAGGAGTAGCTTGTGGTTAGAGGCAATGTACCCTTTTCCTACACACAGGAGAGATCCGTGTATTGTTGTTCAAGTGGCCCTGGAGAAGGGGAGACTTCTGCTTTGGACAGGTTGGAGCGTTGGTTGAATCCGGCGTTGCTCTGTTGAAGGATTAAAGCCTCCTCCTTGCTGCTCAAAGTTGTATTTCCAACATTTCTTTTTTCGGTTTATCAGGCAATCTCTGAGTATTTCTACTCGTTGTTGCATAGGAGAGAAAACTAATGAGGAACCCAGAATGGCTTTTTTTGATTATCCAGGGCCACACTGAATGTCAATGAACATAAGGCTCCATAGGGCTCCACTTCTAAGGTGAATAAAACTGTACCCATTGTTGAAAACGTTTCTTGGATAGATTTGCAGAAACAGCAGGTAGAATCCAACTCAGAATATTAAATATTAAGAATATTTTAGTTGTAGATAGCTGGGACCTGAAAGTGGGACAGTTACCTCTTTATAATTTGAGGCTGAAAGGAATGGGCCAGGCTCTTTGAACCAGTTGTGTTTTTCTGTTACAGCTTATTATATTTACTGCCTTCTGACAAAAACTGCATTATTGGTGTGGGTAACGCCGGCAGGACCAAATGCAATAGGTTCAAAAATCCTAGTGAAAAGAGGAAAAGAATACAGTCAGTGTTACTCCAAATAGACCTCTCTAGAGGTCTACTCTCTAGACCTACTTTTCATCTGCCGTTAGTGTTGCACTCTATTATAATATAATGTGTCTCCACAGATTAATTTTATTTTCCTGTAACGTTTCCCAGCTGCTGGTGCCGACGTCTGACCGGTGCCTGTGCAGGCGCCGGGAGCGCCGAGCAAGCGGCCGTAGTGCAGGGGTGGTAGTAAAACAGCTGCTTCTAAGGGCTTTCAGAAATCTGTTTTTTTAGTAAATTCAATTAGTAACACTCATCTGCTACAAAATTTTGGGGAGTGTGTAGTAAGCTTGTACTGAAGAACTATGCAACAAAGGGAAAGGTGTAGTGAAGTGTGTGATACACAGGGCTTCTCCTTCATGCTGATCTAATCTTTAAATGTGTTTAAAACTGGAATGTCAAACACGGTTGGACATCTCTGTAAGTTTGCATTAGAAAATACAAAAAACTGTTTGCAAGTATTTTGGAATTTAAAAAAATTATTAAATAACACACACTGCTGCCTAAATTTTTGAAGCCTCTAAGTATGAATGTCTTCAGAAATTACCCGTTCTTCAAAACTCCTGTACCGATCAGACAGGACAGTGTGATACAAAAAAAGTGGTGCAATAGCAAAAATCCAGCTATTTTTAGTATACAGGCTTCATATTGTGCTTTTATATGAACATTGCTGTTTATAACTTGGCCAAAGAAAAATATTAGGAAGATGGTGTGTGTTTCTTCTAGGCTAGTGTGGGAAATGAGATCTGTGAAGTAGAAGCAGGCTGGGAGTCCTGCTGCAGAGAAAAGTGTGGCAAATGCTGTGAATTTAACCTTTTTTCTTAATACTTGGGAAAAAGCCTGACTTGACTGAATTCAGCCCCCTGAAATCAGGGGCTTTCAGTGGAATCATAATTATGTCCTGTGTTGTTTTACTGCTCAGCATAGGTATTTCTGTAATGAAGATAGCGCCAATTTTCCAAGCTAAGGCTCGGCCAGATTGGAAGAAATGCTGCATTGACGAAAATTTTAAAAATTTCTAAATATGTGTCATGTATATGCTAATTGGACAGAGAAAATATGTTTAGCTAAAACAAGTTCAATTAAAAGCATAAGTTTTTATAGAAGGTAAGTCTTGGTTGCCAGTATTTGCAACTATGCCTTAGCTAACATCGGTAGATCTTTGTTTTATTTTTCCATGAATTTAAATGACTATTTTGAGAAATAACATTGGGAATCTTTTCTCATTTTCTTCTGTCCCCCTCAAAATATTGTCACCCTGCATTTTTCTCCAAAGGAGTGAAAGGCCAGATGAACATTCTCAGTCTGGGGTTGACTAGGGCTGGAGCGAGCTGCCGTGGGCGAAAACATCATCCCTGCTTTGATCTGGAGCTGGGAGGTCCTACCTAAGAAAGGAATAATCTTCAAAGATGTTTCTTTAGCTGCAAGAAACACAGATCATTAAAAAAATCAAATTTGAGGTTTATTAGGATGCTAAGTGACATTATAGAATAGAAAAATATTGTCGGCACCACTTACTTTTTTTCCTCTCTCCTGTTTTTAGGATGCAAAGTTTGTAGAAGAGAGGCGCAAGCAGCTACAAAGTTACCTGAGGAATGTAATGAACAAAATCATTCAAACTGTCCCAGAATTCACAGCCAGTCCCAAAAAAGAGACTCTTATTCGGCTGATGCCCTTTTTTGTGTAAGTATCTGTCGAGTAGATGTGCAGCATATGAGCCTTTTTCTTTGCAGTTTATTTTAAAATATAATGCCAACATCTTTAAAATCTTCTAAACAGCACATTTTGTATTCTTATTTTTTAAATATATATACCCATATATTTAAAGGCATGTGTGATAAACATGTTTTTTGTTTGTCTATTTAAATGATGGTTTTGAACAAAAATCACCATGTAAGGCTTTCTAAAGCATGTAAGTGACCCAGAAATCTGCACAAACGAATACTCTTGCAATAGATATTTTCAGATTTGCTTAATTAGAAGTTTTGGTTAGTATTTTGTTTTTGTTAGTGGCGTTTGTGTTTTTAGTTTCACTGGAGGGTTTATGAGAGCAGGTCACTATTAGGGTATTTATCAAATTAAGAAATCAAGGAGTCAAATCTGCTGATGTGTTTCCTTAGTACACTAATAAGTAGCATGGTAATGTTGTGGTTTTGTTAAGGATGAATAGTTTGTCTACAAATAGTTTAACATGTTCATCTGTTAAGACTCTCAAAAAGACCCTTTGAATATACCCCTATTTCAATGTAACATTTCTTAGTCTTTCCACTCTGCTCTGAACGTGGTTCTTCGTGGTATTTATAAGTGATATTTCGATCTATTTAAATAAGAAATAATTTAAAGGACAATTTTGTTTTGAGAATGTGATGAACTCTTTCAGTATTGCTTTTAGTGTAGTGTGAACTGAGGCCGGGCACCTCGTGCAGAATATGTCACCCTTTGAGGATAAGCCTTGTATTAAACCTGCGATGCACAAGTCCCTGCAGAGGCTGCGGGTTCCCTCCAGCGCAGACCTTCCTTTGCAGAATCACAGCCCTGTTCCAATTAATGGGTTTCAGGAGGGATGCACATGCTCAGCACTTACTACTCGCATGATCTTATGCTGAATTTTATATTTTCAAGGTGAAAATTAAATTTAAAAATATGCCTGTTCTTTACAAAAGACTACAGAAGAGCCTCTGGTATTTTGTGGCACTCACATTTCAATTATTCTTCTTTAGGTGGTTGTCATAAATGTCGGTAGGGATAAATGTCTCCAAAGGTGTAGGCTTTTGGGAAGAGGAAAATAATTTGTAGAATATGACTAAGAGTTATAAAGATTTAAATGGTTTCAAGTACTTTCAACTGAGAGGCCCTGAAATGATTTTTAAGTGCTTTTCAAAGAAGTTGTCCCTAAGAAATGCTGCAGTTCACTTTGTTCCCTGAGCATTATGGAGGCAATGTAGAAAAGAAGATACATTTGCAATTGAATTTTCACCTCAAATAGTTTTTGTTGTTTCTGTCCCATGATATTTATTTTTAAGATGGTTAAATATAGCTGTGTGAAAGTGTACTAATGATCTCTTGTCCACCTCATTTCATGATTTGCCCTTTTAAAAATAGAGCAGGAAAATAAATTCTGAATGGTGTCCACATAGAGGACAATGCTATTTAGATGCCTGTCTGTGGTTATTTATGACTATCCTGATTATCCTGAGTTTTCCACGTGGACAAGTGGTAATGCCAAATGAAAGGTTTAGGTTGAAGCTCTCCAGTTCTTCCTTATCAATCAGTTTATTCTTAAAAGAAATCATGAATTGTGGGAAATAGAATGCATTGACAAATGATGGTTATGCTTTCAGGTGCTATTGTAACTATTCTTACCTTGGATTAAAAATACTTATAAAGATGGCAATAAAATCTCAAGCAAAAGCCATCAGATTAGGAAATAAATGGCTATTCTAGTTAGAAATGTAATTTTGATTTTTCAGCCTTAATGAAAGTGGCAGCTCATTATTTGTACTCTGATGATATATTTGCATACTTCAAACAAAAATGTTTTGTTTTGGAGTATTTATTTAATTTCAATTGTTATAATTTTGCCTATTTATAAAAAAATCTTTCATTAATTGTATCATTTAACTGTGTACTGTGAGATTATGAACTATGAGGTAAAACGGGACTCTGTTTGTTTTTATTCTTATTATTCTTATTATAAGTGTTAATGTATATTCTTATTATAATCAGTCAGCCGCTTAGGTCAAAGCTACCGAGGGAAAATAGGTTGCACAGAACTGCTCAGCACGAAGCACTGCCCTTGCTCTCTGAGAGTCAAGCCTGGCTCTTGTACTGGTGTGTAAATAGAATTTAGATCTTGGGGTTTTGTTTATTAAAATAAAAAGGCAGCAACAAAAGAAATTTCAGAATTGCAACAACCTTGCTTAGCAAGATCTACCAGAGATGAACAAGTCTGAATAAAAGCTATTCCTTGTTCTGCAGCTACAGAAAGAAAATTCTCTTACTTAATTCTAATGGTATGAATGAGTAGGTAGAATCACTTCACAGGAAAAGCAATGTCTTCTCACTAGAAGATGCTATATTTAAATTAGTTGTTTTCTGCATATGGCTGTGTTTGGTTTTCATATCGCTGTACGGCTACGAGGTGGTATTGCTAAGTTAATTGTTTCTGGATGTGGCTGCAGTTTAAAATGGGAAGTGTTTGAAATTCTCAGCAGTAGCACAAGGAAATTGTTGGGGTAAACATCAGCATGAGGCACTGTTACCCATTCTGCGTGGAGCTGTATCAGGGGTTGCAAAAAGATTTGCTTTTTTTTGGTGGAATTGTTTTTCATTTGGGAATCCCATAGTTATGCATACATTGCCTGAAGCAATGGGCTATAGTAAATTCAAGACTATTCTACATTATCCAACTATTGTAGCAAAAATGTTCTCTTCATATGCATGAATATTTTCTTTTTAGAGAGTTTTCTCAAATAATAGACAGGTCAACCTTCTCTCTGCTGGACCAGGCAGTTCCCCTTGGGTTCCCCTTGGGAACATTAATGGGATTCTGGAAAAGCTTCTCCATTGAACAAAATCGGTGTGCAACTATTTTGTGGGTTTTTTTTAATGTATTTCTTCCTGAGATGTCAGACCTTACTTCTGCAGATGAGCAGAAATTTTAAATTAATATAAAAATCTTTCAGACAACGGCAGAACGAACAAATTTTAGAAAGTATCAGGACACTCAGGCTCTCATCTGAATTCTGAATGTCCTCTATTTTCTGAATGTCCTGACCTGGCATTGCTGGTGAGGAATAAAGAACATTGGAAGGGTAATGCATTTCTGTCCCACTTTATATTCCGTTCCTGGAATCCTTAGCGGGTTCTGAGCTCCCTAAACAGGAGATCTCAAACATGCTGGACACGGTGAAGAGTTTATTCTGTTATTCAATTCTAACCTTTGTACCTGTTAGGTTTAGCAAGACTTTAATAACATAAAACAGTGTAAATAAGTGTTTAATCTCTTTAGAAATCTGATTTGGATCCTAGATGGTGGTGAACAGAAATGTAAAAGTCAGTGTTGCTTGGGCTGTATTCGCTGCCGTGAAGCGCTGCCGCCTCTGGGGGGTTCGCCGGGGGCTGCTCCTTGGAGGCTGCCCTCGGAGCAGGGATTGCAGGAACCAGGCCCCCTCGGATGGGCAAAGCATTTTCATTAGGCTCCTATGGAATCCCCTGCCTCTCTTCTAAAGAGAGAAACTAATGTTATTTTGAAACTCAAATACAGTTAACAGGCTTCAGTAAAATAATCAGCTCGCTAGCATTTTTCTTCATTATTGTATCAAATGTTAGTGGCTCCTCATAGAAATGTAATTGCTTTTGATTCCTCGTGCCGGGAACTGTCATTAGTGCACTTTCTGATGTGAATATTTATCATTTTAAATCTTGCTTTAGATTTTTATTCGATTTCAGTGTTACGTTAGCTCAATGGCAGATTCGATCAAACAATTTCCTTTATGGTTCATTTTCATGTCTTCATGTATAAAAGGCTGTCGGGCTCTGCTCGTTTGTCTGTCTCCGTGCTGAATAACGACCTCTTTGTAGCAAAGCATTTGCCATCACAAATTAAAGATTCCCGTCCATGCAGAGCAAAACCTAAAGCAAGAGCTGGCCCTGCCGAATCTCTCTGCGTGCTACCCGGAGGAACCCTCTCTATTAACACTTTTACTTTGCTTAATTCGCATTTATTTGCAGTCCCAGTGGGCATGTTGCAGATAAATAAAACTTGTTGTAACACGTACAGTTGTGTTTCAGTCACATTATTCTCAGCTTATCTGAAAAGGAGCACACACGTTAGCCCTTGGTTAATGCATGTATAAGAACGAGGACTTCCAGCAGCAAGCATCACAGCTCCCTGTCCCATAGCGTTAAATGTTTCGACTTATATAATCCTGACAGGCTATGTGATTTCAAGGATGTTCTGTCTAATAACCAACTTACTAAAATGTTGTTGGTAAGTTCTTTATTTCAGTGATTTCTGTATCATATGTGCTCATTTCTCAAATGTAAAGGTTTCTTCCCATCACCTTTGTCTTGGGCACAAAACTGAAGTGCAAGGAACTCCAGCTAAACACGAGGAAAAAGAAACTTGCCTGAACGGTGATGGACCACTGGTGCGGGTGACGCAGAGCGGTGGTGGAGACCACATCCTTCCTGCCTTCCCCTAAATTTTACCTGAGATTTTCATCTGAACTGTGTTTAACGTAAACATTATGTAGGGAAGTGTTAGCTAAGCAAGCTGGCGTTATATGTGAGCAAAACATGTGTGAACAACGGGAACCTCCTACGACGTGTGCTTCACCCCTGCGCTGTGCAACGCTGTTCAAACACTTGGTACTTTTGCTTTGGCAGTGTACAGCTGTTTGCACCGTGGACATAAGTACTGTAGTGCAGAATTCAGTGAATGCTTTCAGCTTGTTTGTGCTGAGCATCCATTCGTTGCCTCATTTTCCAGGCCACGGCTTCCTGTTACAACGTTTTCTCGGTTCGTGTTAACGGCTCGTTCTGCCGTTCTTGACATTTGTTGCTGTGTAGTAGCTTGTCAAATGTGCGCTTTAAGGCGAGCAGGGAGCAGACTCGTCAGTAAATCATCAGCCAAGGAGGAGGGTAGAGCAGCTTCTGGGCAGCTGTGCTCAGCCTGAGGG